TACCATGTGCTTTCATACACACAAATGCATATATGAAAGCTCTTACGAAATCACACAAAAAAACTTTGAAATAGTTGCTATTAATCTTATCTTACAGATGAGGAAACAAGCTCTGAGTGGGTTGCCTGAGAACACAATAGTTCAGGAAGACAAACCCAAAGGACCTAAGTGCTCATCCTACTAATGGCTGGTCCTGGAACCTTCCACTGGTATCCTTTATAGTTCTTTTCCTATTATCTATCAAAGCTAAAGATCAAGCTTAATCTTTTTTCTTGGTGGATTCCAACTTCATTACAGTAAACTTAAATGAAAGTAAGTTAAAATAATTAGTATAAGGCCTGACATACTCAAAGGCCAAGTACTCATATTACTGACTTTCTAGAAGTATGCAAAAATAAGCTACTACAAGGGTTCAAAAGTATATGTGCTCAATGAATTAAAATTCCCACCTTGATTAGAGCTCAGTGTTGTAACACCAAGGTAAAGGGATTGGATCCCCACACCGGCCAGCTGCCAAAAAACAAATTCCCACTGATGGTTACACTAACTTAGATGGAAACAACAAAGCAAATATTGTTTCATAGCAATTGGCAGACTTTAATGTTCAAGAAAAATTAAGTCCATCGTACACATTAAAAATATAGGAAATTTCATGCAGACATGAAGCTTCCAATTCAGCCTGTGTAGCAACTTTTAGAATGAGAGTTACATATAAATACAGTACATCCTTACAGTTCCAAAACTTCATAATTTTATACTGTGATTTATACAACTTCTCTTTATATTTTACACATCCCACCTTGCTCACTGATTAGATTAATATACCCTAAATCTGCACCGCTTCAGAATATGGAAATACAAAAAAAAAAAGGCAAGCACAACAACCTATCTCTTCTCACTTTATGAAAATAAGTGAAAACATTTGTGTATAGAGCTTATTTAAGAAAAAATTAAAAACTTTAAGGCTTACATATTTAGTACTTAGGACCAAACATAAGAATTACAAAATTAAATAAATCCTCCAGTGACACTTCTTATTACTGATTGATACCACATTTTCAAGTTTAGAATATATTAACTGCAAAAGGTATAAGAAAAAAA